AATAACATAAAATAAGGCAAAAGTTTGTTTGTTCTTTGTCGTGGTTCATGTTATATGTAGATATTATAGTTTCCACACTAAAAGATTGTTTTGCTCTTTTTTAGAAATAAATGATGAGGCTGTTGGTAACATACCACTCTCAATCTTAAAGAAAAATAGTACCGAGACGAGATATTTGTCGAGAGATTGCTCGGATGAGACTGATGATATTGCACTCTCAGTTTTAAGGAAAATTTGTATTAAAAATTGCAACAATGTTTCAAGTTCTTCGATGCGTCAATCGAAAGAGGCGAAAATGAATATTATTTCGAATATATGCATCAATAAACCAGGTAACTTGTGGAACACCTGTCCTTTTAATAATTATAAATAAAAGCTAAAGGTGATTTTTTTAGATCCTAGAACAGATATTGACAATATTCACAAGTTCCTGGATGATTCTGATGACTCAAGGCTTGACGAAAACTTCGTACTCGATTGTGAGTTTAAACATTGCAACCAAAAGGGGGAACAGTTTTGAGGCTGCGGACTTTCGCTTTGTATAGGCATTACTTTGGTGAAATTAGTACTGCTCATGATAACGACGATTCAGACTCCAAAACTCCAAAACAATACGTGAAAAAGATAAACATAAAGTTTCTAAAGCTAGTACAGCTCATGAAAATCACTTCCAGCAGCATTTTATTTATTTATTTATTTATTTTTATTTATTGGATGCAAAGATGAAGTCTGGGCTGCCTGTCACATGTGCTCCGCGCTACTTTGTTGGAATCACTTCGAGGAAAATTTAGGTTGCGAAAAACATAAACTATTTCCTAACTACGTTAATAATAACAATGACGACAATAATTTTTCTGGGACTACAGAAATTTTCGAAAGGAAGTCTAAACAAGAAGATTTTAAAGTTGAAGGTGGTGAAACAGAGATACCCCTTAAGAAGAAAGAAAGTCGAAATGCATACCTAAAAGAAGTTAAGCTAAGATATTATGACTGATTTTTTATTCTCTTAAGAGTCTAGATCTACAAAGGCAATACATATGTAGTTTAATACAAATTAGTTTTCCCAAAAACCCAAAAAACCAGAAAAGGTTAGAGAAAAGATTTTTTCTTACCTTATTTTGACGAAAAACTGTCAGTATGTAAAGTTCTTTTTTTAAATACTCTATGTATATCAGAAAAAGTTATGAGAACGTTTGTGGAAAAAAAGAAACCAAGTGGTGTAGTTAAAAAAGAAGGTCGACGTGGAAGATCAGAAGCAATGAAAAAGCGAGCACCACATCTTTCTATTACAAAAATGTATGACATGTACTTGAAAGAATATGAAGACAAAGATCCTGCTAGTGTCAATACATACAGTAGATCTGTACTTTGTGCAATACAAAATTACTAAAAGCAATATGAAAGAAACTTATGAGAAGCACCAAAATGAAAAGAAAAAAGTTAGAGAAATTAAAGGCAAAAGTAAGCAAAAGGCAACACATTAGTGCTGTGTTTGATCTCCAACAGGTCACCCAGTGAGCAATTATCCAGGAAAGCACGTTATTTTATAAGCAGTGTCTAAGTTTTTATAATTATGATACATGAATTAGCGAACAAAGATTGTTATTGTTATATTTGGGATCAAACAAAAAGTAAAAGGAGCGCTGCCGAAATCTCTTCTTGTATTTTCCAGTTTTTACTAATTTGTGATGAAAAGGGCGCCGAATGAATAGATCTTTTTTCTTAAAAACTGCCACAGACAAAGTGAGGGTGATTCGGCACGCAGTACTATAAGCAGAGCGGCCGGAAACTTGTTTGTACCCAGTCAGATTATTCCCATAACTAAACTGCAAAGAAAAAAGCATCCTTATATTGTTACGGAAATGAACTATGATGATTTTTTAAACTTTAAAAAACTTTCGCAGGATTTAAGAATCCTTACCTTGAGAAGATCGCAAAATGATGAGAGTGACGTAAACTGGACCAAAATGCTTAGTATAATGGTAACTAAAAGTCATATTAACCGAATATTTTTTAAATCCAGCCACTTTGCGGATAATTTTAGTTCCATAGAATTTCCACGAAATTTCCACTGACGGTTGGCAAGTTAAATAAGGGACTTCAAAAAGTTTGATATCATTTTGTTCGTTCGTGAATACCAAGAATATTATACAAATTTACTACACTAAAGCAGTAAAAATTTTATTCTTTTTTTTGGATAGGATTAGAATAAGTTGTTGTGACTTAAAGGTAAAGTTTACAAATATTTTTTATTTGTTTGTTTAGTAATCTAATATGTATTTGCTGCCAAATTTAGATTTTATAGGTCTTATTACGTAAAACTTATTGTTTCTTTTGTCAAGGAATGTATTTTTGAAAATAAATATACTTTCTCAAAAAACATATAATATTTTACTACTGGAATAACTAAAAAATATCACCCCAGAAGTCCCCTGTTAAAATTTCATAATTTTATCTTCAACAACATAGTCAATATTTGGGTTTAAATAACCACTAAAACTTCTGATAGCTTTCCTGAAAATCAAGCAAAACTTATATTCGCCGCTTCGTGAATTTGGGGACGAGATGATAGTTTGATTTGTCTTTTGTTAATAAAAGGATTTAAAAGAACAATCCAAGTAAAAACTATTTTTTGACAACAATGAACAAAATTAAAAGTTGTCGAATAATTGTCAATTAATTTTTATTTACCAAGCAACACAAACACAAATTATTATTTGCACCGCGATTGTATAAAAATTAAAATAAAAAAATAATTTGTAATTACATTTTTAAAAGCATTTATCTCGAAAACGGTGTGTTCTAGCGAGGTGCGGCCTTATTTATGTAGAAAACTTCAAATTTTCAAATTCTGCGGTCCAAATTACGAAAATTTGACAAACAAAAAATTTGTGGAAAATTTTTGCCACCTTACCCATCCGTGGAGACAATACAACAATACTAAGTTTCAGTCCATTAAATAGAGCTTAAAAAGTTAAGTAACTGTACCAAATTTTATTTACGAATGTTTACGTGTTTCGAAAATACTTACAAAAAATCGCCGTCACCTCTTCAAATTTAACACCCTTTATGTTAAAAACTAAGACGTTTTTAGTTTATATGAAGTTTTCTCTCCTTATTTTGGGTCTCAGAATACGTGGTTAAAATATTGACGTAAAATATCCGGGCATGCTGTACAGTATCAAAAATGCGTACATATTACCTTAGGTTTACAATTGTTAACAGAAGGTGATCCTGTGCTACTACCAATCTTCCAAAAAAATCGTAACGAATTAGGATCCCATACCCGTTCACGAAATGTTCGACTCACTCGCGCTCCAATTAGTCGCAAGAGAAGTGTGACAGATAGCTTCTACAAAAATGCGAACATCTGGTAGCAACGTTTGATGAGAAAATATCTTGGGCCTAACGTAGGTGTCCTACAGTTGACACATATTTTAAATAAACACTCGAGGAACGTGTCCTTTTTCTAGTAGGGCAGTTGGACAGATGACTGGCTTCGACAATGAGTGACAGTATACCTAAATATCTTAAGCATAAACCGCACCGCGGATGAATTATTTATTTATACTGTGATGTTTATCATTGCGTTATAAAGGGTGTTGGAAATTGAGTCGTCCCAGTAAAATAAAATAAATTAAAAAAATTTACAATATAACAATCGGGATGATCTCCGAATGGAAAAGAAGTATTTGTGTTTGCATACGAGTGCGCATTTTCAAAATGGCGAGAAGGGACGCTCGCCAGCTCCGGCCAATTGCCGACAAGCGTCCTTATTGATCGCCGCGGCGCCATACTGAAAATAGATACAGTTGCAGCAAAAGTTTTACGCGAAGTTTGAAGCCAATAATATGTAATTTTTACTTGTAAGATTAAACAAAATGTTTGAAAAATAAAAAAACTACTTAAAGAGTCGCACATGGTCTGAAACAATGTTGACATTATTAACCTATCTTTGGGTCGAATCGCCCGCCCATAAAGGCCATTACTTTAAAACCGTGAAACATTTTCGGGAATTTTACAATGGGGGCAATTAAACTAGAAAGGTATAATTTCAACCTAAAGGATAGTAAAGCGATGTAATTATGACACGAAGAGGATCATATCTGTCCGTGAAAATACTTTAGTGCTATTCTCTTGTCCGATATTAAACCGTCTGTAAAATGTTGTCCCGAAGGGTGGCTATTAAAAATTTATTACGCCCAACGAACCGTATGCTTTTGTTTAATGTCGCCCGGCTTCGACTGCGTGTTGCAATAGGCGTCACAATTTATTATTTAGTAGAGCAAATTGTATTATACAGAGTGTTTTTTAATAAATTTCCGAGTAGAGATAAAAATTACTCGAAATTGAATTGAAATTCGAACATAACGTTAATTTTTTGAGAAAATAGCGGTGTATATTTTTTCTTTTCAAAAATGTTCAGCCTAAACACTTTACGGATGCCACTGATGTTTTTGAAAAATAAGAAATGAATTGGAGTATTTTCTAATATATTTTCCTATAAAAAAGGTACTCTTCTATAAAGTAAAGAAATTATTTGAGGCTTTAGCAAGTAGTGTCCTGGCCGAATTAATAAATTATGCCAAGTAAACAAACTATGTCAGGGTAAAACGATTGCTTCAGAAAGCACTGCGAAGTATAAATATTTGTAAATTATTGTGAACTTAAATTGTCAGTATTAACTTTTGTCGAAATATTATTTAGATGAAGCTTGGTGGAAATAATAAAAATTAAACTGATTTTTTAAGGCTTCTTTTATAGGGCCGCATTTCGGTTCATATGCATATTAACCCAAACTAATGTTATTTCTTAATGTTGTATTAACCCTAGAAATTAGCTGAATGATTTTTGAAACACCTGCGAATCCCGGTGTATTTTAATAAGAACTATTTCAATACCTGGGTTTGTAAAAGATACAGTCGTGTGTATTGGTTAGCAGTCTGGAGATGGAGAACAACATACTATAGCATTTTAGGTGAAAAAACTACTGCACTTACTTTCCCGGGTTCCTTTTCAAAATCGCACTCTTTTTCGGGCATATATCCAGGAGAAGGAGGCGCGAATACCAACTGCAAGTTGGTTCCGGTTGCTGCGAATGCTATTTCAGTGTGACCTTCACGACAGGCGTTTTGAAACCTCGCCACTCTTTCTTCTTGGGGTCTGTCTCTGTAACCCGTATACCTTATCTGCAACAAACGAGGCCATACACAATCCCCTTCAAAAATGAAACTAAGTTTAAATTAAAACTTCCACAAAGATATATTCGTCACTTGATAAATATGCATAAATATACAAACAATGTTGTTCTCGTTTGCCACGTATGAATACAATGATGACACGCCAAGTATTTGGTCAGAGACGAGCGGAATACACAATTATTAGTGAACAGGGTGTTCAACCCACATTTACATATTTATTTCAACAGTTTACTGCTGAAACGCACTATTAACAATGCACACATAAATTGTGATTGTATGTCAATTTGGGACCGTACGCTATTATACCGCGTGTAAGACAAAATGTTGATATTTAATGTTAATTTGTTGTCCCATAAAAAAATTAAAAACAGAAAAAATCGAAAATTGGAAGAGTTGAATTACAAAAATGCATAAAATATTTTAAACACTTATCTTAAAAACCTTAATTTGGCACTAAAAGTTTTTTCGTTATAACGATATCAAACAGTTGTTTAGAACGTCAATATTTCCTGAAACACCCTGTATACGTATTCGTCTATTTGGGCGTGAATGCAAAAAAATGTTGGGCATATCCGTTTAGTCATTCTCAGCGGCGGTCATTTCTTCATTTCTAGGTATTTGCTTCTTTAATATCTTGACTAAAGTGAGTTTGTAGCAATAAAACGTTATATGGTCAAGGTCGCGTCTTAGGAAATTCGAATGCGTTAACTGAATGGAAGCGGTATATTAACAATGAAAATATGACGCGTATGTATATTTTATTTTGTTTCCCAGAAATAACAAGTAACAAAATTCTTTGCAGTTATCTTTTGTCCATCAAGTTTTCACCCATTTCGTAGTAATACCGTGAAATTGGGATGTTCCGAAAAATTTATAACAAACATAAAATCATGCCTAAAGGTTTCTACTTGCAAGAAAGTGTCACCTCAATACACACCCTTTAATAATACACTTATTACATATTTAAATTAAAACAAGTAATACAAAGCGTTGTTAATAGACCAATAAGGGTAAAAATCCAGATTTCTGACAGCTTTTTTCAGTTCCAGATTAATTTACCGATTTTCCATTAAATTGTGAAAATGGTTCAAAATTTCTATTACGTTTTTGAATTCTTTAAAGTTCTAGTTCCAATAGTCGTAGAAAACGCACGACGTTACTTGCTCGTTAAATGCATTTGAAAAATTACTTTACTATTCCTAAAATTATTACTACAGCATTGAAAATTATATGTTGAGGAAACAAGAAATAACTATTCTAATGAATGAACTTTAATTTGCTGGTTTAACATTCATTCAATGACAACCTCAAAGAAATGTGTGATAACGTGTAATACCTGTTACATTAAGGGAAAAAGTCATAATTTATATTTTATAATTGCTCATCATATTAAAAACCCAAAAATAATGCAAAACTTTACAAACTATGAAGCTAAATCTAGGTATTGAAATCCTTTTGATGTTTGATTGTTATAGAAAGAGGGAAAACATTTGTCGTAGGCACTGGACATTTTGTTAGTAGACCTAAACCTAATTCACACCAGAGAAAGAAAAAAAAATACACCTTCAAACATAAATATCCATTTCGAATATATTTTCTCAATTGACCTCGATCATCAATTTATCGCGTTGTGGACTTGATCAGTCTTTTTTTTTGTGTCAATTGACCGAAATAATTTTAAAAATACAATGAAATTTATATTGTGCGGTACGTCGCCATCGCTCTGAAATCTCTAAGTTATCGTATTTGGATATTAATTGAATAGAGTTGTAGCTAAATTGTATATCACAAACACCTAATAATTTAATATAAGTTACCTATTATTATTAAATAGTAATAGATAACACGCAACAATTACAAGATATTATTTAAAATAATTTGATCGAATTTGACGGTCAATTGACCAGTCCCCTCACTAATTACAGATGAAAATCTAAAATATAATAATTTTCGGCACATTTAAAACAATGTTGCCTCAGTGAAAATGGCCGATTTTTGTAAATTCGTGAAAATATTAGAAAAACGAAGATATAAAAAATTGAGGGCGTTTAGGGCACAGGGCACAAAATATCTTTAAACGGATTTATCTATACGTCCACCAAATTTGACAAACTCTCTGTCAAACACCGTTTATTTATGGCATCTTGTTTGGATGATCCCTTGAACTTAAGGGATTAAGTAAATCAGAAGGCCAACATATCAAACTCAATTAAAACCAGTAAAAGGCAAACTGTGGACAAAGACGCTCCCATAGAACCCGCTAAATCCTGTAGAAAATAGCCAAACCCACCTCGCTTTCTCTGCTGAGCCTCCTGAAAAGTTCGTCGGATTCGAATTTCGCTTTCTGATCGGGCACTACCCTAGGCATTTTAAAAATGAACCGTGGCTTGGGCTGTTCGTACAGGCTCATTGCATCGAACGGCATCATGCCAGTCAAAACGGAAGTTGGATCGTGCATTTCGTCCGCGTACACTTAAAATCGACTTTTCCTTCTTTTTTACCGGTTTTCCGACCAACACCTTACCACTTCCGTGCCCAGATATAAACTGTGAGCTCAGTCGTCCCTCAGCTCAGTCGAATTTTTTTCCAAACACTCGATGGGGCGGAGCCATTCAACTTTCGGCCAATAGCATGGGATTTCGGGACCCCTAGGCCGCTTTACGTTCATGAGGGGGCTGTCGAACGGATCGTTTTTCGAGAGGGAACGAACGCGTGGTACGAGCTTTCTCCTATGAAAGTTTAGTAGCTTGTTTTATCGGATTTATATCGTCGACGATCTCATTGTGTTCCGCGCATCTGGGGATTTCAAAAGATACCTTTTATTTCTGACAGACGGTATTGTAATACGCACTCGCTTTGTATATATTTCGGTATAATTATACGGCTTTTTCCAATGTTTAAGATTTAAGATAAACTGTTTATATAGTTATAGGTCGTTCTTTGGGAGTGCTATAGATATGTTTGAATTTTCAGGCCCAACTAACCAAAATTTCCACGCAAATTATATATAAAATAATATTCTAATAATATGACATTTTGTTATTGATTAATGCAAATCATTAAAGCAAATAAACTATTATTATTATTATTATTATTATTATTATTATTATTACATAGGGTCTATTTTAAAGTTGGTCAATGTTAATTTTGATGACATGGCGTTTTGTCAGTTGTGGGGCAAGATTTTCTCTTATTTATGCTTTACCTCTGCATTTAAACATGTATAGGGTGGACCGTTTATCTTGGGCGAGTATCAACATTCTTATTTTAAATAAAACGCCTGGTACAACACCTTCATTTTTGAATTCTATACAAAATTCTAGACATATTTTGTGTATAATGTCTAACCGTTTAACCGGAAGCATTTATTGTTTCACTTGAGTAAGTTTGGTTGTAGACAAAGGACTCCAATTACTGATTTCATAAGAAATTTCGATACATATTAATACAACTTACGCGAAAAATAAGATTAAAAATAAAATCAAAAAACCTGCCAAAAAAATTTTTTTTTAAGTCGAAACTACGAAACTACCCATTTTTATAATCTTTTCATGATTAGCATTTATAATTAAGGCAATTTTATATAAGTTTGTATATGCCCAATCTTTTTATTTTTTGAAATATTTCCCCTTAAACGTTTGTCTATCACAAATAAAATGCTGTTAATGATTTTTTGGTGATTTTTTTTGTTAATGACCGAAGGTCAATACGAGCAGTATAAAGGCTTTCTAGAAACTAATGGCAGCTTCAGTCCCATTTAAATATCCGACACCTTCTCTTATCCGATGTTTAAGTTCCTCGGTAGTTGAAGGATTGTGTTTATAAACTAAATCTTTATGTGTACCCCATAGAAAAAAAATCTAGGTTAGTTAAGTCGTTGCTCCATTCTCCATAGTGTGCATTTAAAGAGGTGCTAATTTCTTGACTTGTGTGATAAGGAGCGCCATCCTGCTAACCAAATTAAATTTCGATCTCCCCTTTTAGGCACTTCATTTTCAAAAAAGAGATGGATAATATTTAAAAGTTCTCAGTAGCGTTCGGAATTTACATTCTGATCAAAAAATACTAGACCTATTATTCTGAACCTCCAAATAGAGCACCATACTTTGACAGAAGTTCCTCCTGAACTTGTAACTTCCATATGTTTTTATTGTTCTTGTTTTTCCAGTAATTGGTATTTTTCCGATAAAAATTTTTAGTTGAATTGATAATATTATTTGGACTCATCTGTCCAAATAATATTATCAATTATATTTTCTGAAAAGTGTCTCTCCATAAGATTGTTGTAAAAATCTAACATAATGTTGTACTGGACATAATTTATAGAGCTTCCAGTTATTTATTTAAAGGCACCTTGTGGCCACCTTACACTAATTGAACTTATATATCAATAGCATATTATTTGTGATAGACAAATGTTTAAAAGGAAATATTTCAAAAAGTAAAAATATTAGGCATATGCAACTTATATAAAATTTCCTTAATTTTTAATGCTAAATATAACAAAATTATTAAAAAAAAATAAAAAAAAGTTTTTTGGCAATTTTTTTAATTTGATGATTTAATGAAATATCCACACAGAATTCGCAATAACGCTCGAGAAGCGGCTTGGTTTGAAACTATACCAATTTCAAATACAGATTGGCTATAAACAATATATTTAAAATAAGTAATTTTTGGAAATTGCCGTGCATTTAGAAATTAAAGCTAACTATTCTCAATTTCAAGCTGGCCCGGTATGTATAGAATAATTCAAATTTTGGACTTCGTTTTCTAGATACAGGGTGTCCAAATCCAAAAAAAATATTTTCACAATTTTAATATAGCTTTACATTTATTTTTCAAATTTAGTAAACATCAGACAGGGATCTTATCGAAATTGGCAACTATTTGACTCAGAAAGGGGGTTTTACGTCGATATCCAATGGTTTGCGTTACTCTAATGCCCGAAGACGCCGATTTTAACTAGTATTGGATCAAAAAATGATAGTTTAAGCTGATATCTGCAGTGTTGATGCGGTTTTAGGTACGATATGAATCGGAGGAGCCGATTTTGACTGGAATCTGTTTAAATAATGGAATAAAAACCTACTATCAATCCAAGAAAGTGGGTTTTTAAGTAGTTATGTGTAGTTTTAAAGTGGATAACAAGATTATAAAAAAAAATTAAAAAAAAGTTTTTTAGCAATTTTTTTAATTTGATGATTTAAAGAAATATCCACACAGAATTCGCAATAATGCTCCAGAAGCGGCTTGGTTTGAATTTATTCCAATTTACATATACATTTATTTTTCAAAATTAGTAAACATCTTAAAAACTCTCATCGCTTTTTCACACGTTTAAAAGGCACAGAGAATCTGCTTTTGTGATATGGTTGTATAGGCGGATTTCCCAATATCTAAATGCAAAAGAAGCAGTAATTCTCTTAACCATAAAAGGATCAAATCTATAATAATTTGGTAATATTACAGAAGAATACAAGGTATAATCGTAAGGATGCAGTACTATATGGACTTTTTTAGAGCTGTAGTCAACAAAGTGCGCATTGTCATGATTGTTTCTAACCTTCGTTAGAAGATGGAACATGGGAATGAAGCACATGAAGATACTCGTTCTTTTGTATGCATTTCCTTTATACCAGCTTCCCGTGTCGGTCACCGGCTTATTTTTACCCCAGCTAAACGTAAAATGTAAATTTGTGTCCGACCAATAGGGTGGCCGATTTAGAGAGGGGGAATTAGCTGAATTTACTGCAACTTGATATCTCGTCGATACTACTGGATTTAACATAACAATGCCCGTTAGACGTTATCCTCCATTTTTAAAAGTGTTATGGTCGACTTCATCATTTGTCGCGCTGATGCTATTATCTTTTCAAAGAACGATAAAAGTTAAAATTGTCTAAAATACCATTTTTTGTATTTATAATATAATATAAATAAATTTATATAGTTATTAAAAGAGTTTCCATTGAGAAGGCAATAATAGTGGTAATGGATTTTTATGCAAATGAAGCTGTTGTTGTTTGGGCGATTGCTTGAGTGTTTTCTATCATATTTTCTGATATACATTTCAAAACTTTCTTTTGTAATAGTGATGAATCTGTGTTGAAATAAAGATTTAATTAGTTAAAATTTCTTAGCTGTTTAAGTTCGTTCGGGTTGAGTATGAATAGCACAGTGCTAGACTTTGCCTCTGTTATTAGCAAGAGCTCAAAGAAATTATATTTTAACGAGAATTGTACGGTATAAATATGTTAATGCTTTTTTTTTCTTTCTCTTTTTCTTCAATAAAAGCCGCTATTTATTTATTTATGAAAACTAACACATGCAGGAAAAAATGTATGCTTGCACTAAACAAAGCCTTTCAGCGCAGTCACGAAAATCTAGGGTTCTTCTCTACAGAATGGATATGCGATACATGACTCAAGACCCACCAAGGGTCGTAGTGCTACGGAATAAGTAATAAAAATTAAATTGGATATCGCAAAGTTTTGGTTGAAATTTAAAAACTGTCTACCACTTTTATTTTCCCTCTATTATCCATTCAATCTTCCCTCCCATTATTTGCTGTATAATATATGACCAAAGACTAGAATAAAATAACAAGTGACTGCAAAATTTGCAAATTACTCACTCGAATTAATAACAAAAAAATATGTTGTTTTTGTAGTGCGGGAAAGATAGATATAGATATTTTTTAGTAACTATCACAGGGATAAATTTTTCCCTAAGCTAAAATTAATTGAACTGAGGTGGTTTTTACTTGATGCAAATGCATTTAACAAAATAAATAAGAACTAAAAATTCAGATTTTCACGAAATGATATATTTTCACATGACAATTATTTCGACAACCAAATGTAATATTAGATTTAAATACCTCTCCATTATTAATTAAGGTTTTATTGTCATTTTCGGTGTATATATAGTCGCAGGTAGTTTGTGAATATTACATTTGATAAAGACACGGTGTTGTCGAAACAATTGTCATGTCATAATATATAATTTCGTGAAAATCTGAACTTTTAGTTCTTATTTATTTTGAAAAAATTAATTATAAGAATAAAATTACGTTCACAATAAAAAAGGCTTTTATTGAATCAAAAATTGATAATATTTTTGCTTTAATTGTCTTAACTAAAATATTTAATTCAATCATCGACCATTTTGTAAATTATATTCTTATTGCGCCAATAAAGTTTTGCAGAAATTTTTTACAAACTAACATATTATATAATTTATTTTCTGAATTAAACAATTCTTAACATCCCATACGTTTAGTATTTCTTGTAAAAGTGTAAGACTTGTCCTTGCAACAATTAGATTATAGTTGAGATAGGAAAAAAATAATTCCCCGATTTCGATATTTAATTGCTCGATACGAATTAAATAATTTAATTAGAACAACAGTGCTTCATTTTCAGGAACTAATTCTTTTTCTCTGTATACACAAATACAGAACCATTAAAATATAGGTTAGGCGGGTTTTATCATAATTTGGAAAATATTTTTTGCTTTTCTTATCAATATTTGCTAAATAACGCCCTTGTTTT